TTTCTAAATTTGTTTGGGCGTACCCTATAAAACGAAAAAATGGAAAACTGGTGGCAGATGTTATGAATAAACTTTTATCGGGACTTAAAACGACCCCGAAACATTTACAAACAGATATGGGAAAGGAATTTTATAACAAGGATTTTGGAGATGTAATGAAGAAATTCAATGTCAATCATTATAGTAGCTATTCTACCCTAAAAAGCTCTATTGTTGAGCGCGTTAACAGAACGCTTAAGTCAATTATGTTCAAGAAATTCAGCTTACAGGGTTCCTACAAATGGCTATCACTTTTACCTCAAATAGTTGACAAATACAATTCAACTAAACATCGAACTACGGGATATAAACCTATCGATGTTAACGAGAAGAACGCCTCAAGTATTTTGAAGAGAGTTTACAGTCATATAAATGTGATTAACCCCAAACCACCTAAATTTAAAGTGGACGATTCTGTGAGAATTAGTAAATACAGAACCGTTTTCGCAAAAGGTTACACGCCAAATTGGACTTACGAGACATTCACAGTTGCTAAAGTGAAACGTTCAAATCCTACGACATATATACTAAAAGATAGTACAAATCAAGAAATAAAAGGAAGATTTTACGAACAAGAATTACAAAAAGCGCAGTTCCCCGACATCCATTTGGTTGAGCGAGTAATTCGAAGAAAGGGCCAGAAATCCTTAGTGAAGTGGTTAGGATTTGACAGTTCTCACAATTCTTGGGTATTAAATAAAGATATTCTATAAATTTTGGCATTTCAAAGCTGTACATCAAGTAAGATGTGTTTAGAAGACGGCGCAGCTGATTATACCAACTTTGAAGATCGACTCCTATCATTTCATTCATGGGTAGGAGTTCCATCGGCCGTTGAACTTGCTAATGCTGGATTTTTCTACACGCATAGCGGCGATACGGTGGAATGCTTTTATTGTAAAGTGCGCATTAATAAGTGGGAGGCCTCCGATGTACCCTTAGCTGAGCACCTTCGTTGGTCGTCACGTTGCAGATATGCAAGATTATTAAATCGTATGGCCTGCTTGAAGATTAATGAAACAGAGAAGACCTACTGCGTTTGTGGTTGTAGTCCGGGCGCTCATCTTATTTAATAAAACAATGCGATTTATTTTTTTTATTGTAATTATGGCACATGGTATTGTAAACATTTTAAATAAACATTTTAAATAACTTAGCTTGTTATTGATGATTACAAAGAATTAAGAAAATCTTCCAAACTTTGAATTGCGTTAATATCGCGATGTCTCCATGCCAATGTTCTGCAGGTGCCAGGGATAATGAATCTTTTGTCGTCCGTTGATGATAAGGCTATTTTGTTTGTCATTTCTGTGTACATGGTGTGCAAGTGAGATCGAAAACCGCTCATCTGCTTCATAATCACGCCACCTTCTTCGACTACTTTCTTATAATCTTCCTCTTTTAAGCCGTTCTTTATTACATACTTTTTTACCCCTTTAGCTTTCTTATCTACACGATCACCTACATTGACACAGTATGACTTTGCACCTGCACCGTAAAAACTAGCGATGGGGACACCGCAATATTCATCTTTCATCTTCCCCACAACTGAAATGTTGCGTGGAATACCGTGTACATTATCAAGGGGAAATTTAGATGTGTCATATCTATCCAAATATAATTTCATGTCATCATAGAAATTATTAGTAAAAATCTCCAATATAAGGGAATCGGTGTCTGTATACAACAAAGATACTTTATCTTGATATAATGGTTTTAGAAAATCGTAAAAGAACTCGTACATAACTGTTTTGGATAAATCTAAAATTGAAAAACCAACATACACCGGTTTGTTGTACTTTACGGATACTTTGGACATTTCAATTGCCACGAGATTTTCAGAGAACACCGATAAATTTTTAAAATTTGGTTTAGATATGTGCCCCTCAGCTCCAGGCTTCTTACCGATCCTCTCCCAGTGACTTACAAGTGCAACGTTATCTCGTTTGTCAACGTTTTCCATAGTTTTACCATAAATGCTGTTATTCATAGTTTTTATAGTGTCACGGCCCGATTCGCTAGTTTCACGATTACGCAGTTCCGTATTTAGATCAATATATGATTTTAACCAAGGCGATTGCATAAATTTAACCCCGCGATGAATATTTTTTAAAATTAATCCGTGTTGCAGGCATTGTCTTAGCATTCTATAATGTAAAACGTATTTTTCCTTATGATTTAAATTTGGAATTAGTTTCTTATACTTTGACCTTGAATTTGGCGGGGTTATAGATTCGGGGCAATAGGGCATGTCATTTTGCAAATTGTGGAGGGCCTCAGGGTACAGTAGATCAACATTCTAAGACATACCCGATCGGTGACTCATCTGATATTTCGAAAACATTAAAATTTTGAATTTCTTCGGGTGTGAGCCAAGCAAAGTCACTTTGTGGGAGAAATTGTGTTTGGGAATGGCCATAAAGATTACATGCATCCAGATAAATAATAAATGAGCTTGGTTTGGAAGGATCGTAATTGGGAAGAAATTTATTGTTAGCGATTGCTTTGCGTTTGGTGCACGTACTGACGTCGCCTCGAATACCACGTTTAAAAAAATGAAGCATGTCAATATCTGTCAGTAATTCTAATTCCACATCCGTCTTTTTTAACATAGCGTCCCAGCTAAGGCTAGGACCGGTCAGATATTGGGCAGCGTCAATTTCGTACTCGCGTAAACACACGCCTCTGTAGTTTTCAAATATATCGGCCAATAAAAGCACGTCAGATTTTAAATAAATGTCCGAGTATTCGCCCAACGTCTGGCAATTAAATAAATTCCAAACTTCCTGAGCACGTCTGTATTCTTCATCGGTAATGTCCTGCTCGTGCAACATATCAAAGAAATCGCTTTTATTGGGGATCGTAGTTAGATTAAGCTTATCGTATGAGTCTACAAACGAATACGGAAAAACACCTTTTTGTCGAATTAATTCAAATTCACGTCCAGATCCAAAAAATTTTGTAATTTCAGTGCACTCGCTATCACTCAAATTTTTAGCAAGAACATTTAATGAACTGGCCAGAAAACGAAAACTATCGACGAAACGTATTCTCCATATTAGGTTTTTTGGAACTCCGTTCTCCACGATTTGATCTACTACAATATGCTTCGAAAAAGAAATGTATTTTTCCTTATTTCCGGCAATAACGTCTATATTTTCATTCTCTAAAGCCAGGGATTTAACGAAAAGATGGCTGTCGTACCCGGTCAAATTGTGGAAAAATACAGGGATAAAATTTGGGGTTTGAAGCTGTAAATTACATATAGAATGACATAATCCGGCCCTGACGAAAGAAGTCTGATGGTCGTGGTCGATCACTTTTACATCTCCCTCAACAAAAGGTTTCTCACAAATCCCATAATTTGTGGCAAGATTAATTTTTCTCCGTTCCTCTTCTGTTAAAATTTGTAAAGGTTTACTTTGCTTAAAATGTTGATTGTATATGGTTAGAATATCATTCTCTAGTATATTTATAAACTGCACTGGAGCATTGGCACCTCGATAAATTTGAAACTTTGAAAATTTATCATCAAAAGAACATTTAATATAATACGCGAACGAATATGGTTCGTGCTCAAATGTTTTAGTAGTAAATTGAAGAAGAGGATTCGGTTGAGGTCCTTCTATGGGCTTAAGCAACGATTCGAAATCCGCATAGACAACAAACGGGTGTTTGATTTTATTTTGGTAATTATTAAATTTAAGTCGATTATCAAATGACGGCTGGCCCCACTTTGTCAAGATAGGTTCCTTTGTAGGCAAAAATGTACAAACATAATTACAATCGAATCTAGAATGGCGCCACAGGTTTTCCTGACTTGTAAAATATTGCAAGCATCCGTCACATAGATAAATAGCTTCTTTGTGCTTGGACACTTGCATGGAAATTAATCGCGACATATTAGAAATGTAGCAGTAGTGACTGTTGCCATCTAAATTAGACAAGTATAAAAGATTTACATGCACGGCTTTCTTTTGTTTGGTATAATGTAAAGGACCTACTACTTTATATGTCATTTTACCTTGTTTCTGTGTGTCCTCCTCTAAACCGTAAACGTTAATGGACAAGGGATTCATTTCTTCAAATTTTGATATCGCATCTAATTTTACCGGGAACGTTATTCCTTCAAAATTGAACTTTTCTAAATAGTCCGGATACGAATCCGGTTCGCAGGGATGTCCAGTTGGAGTATAAATAGCTGCAACTAGCGCCCATCCAAAACATCCGAAATCCTCGTTCTTTACATTAATAATGGCTCTTTTGCGTGAGATAAATGCAGGGGTCGGTATGAATGAAGAAGCTCGTAGCGGGTTATATTTATTAATGTTGACTTCCATATATAATCAGTGCTGAAGAGCCCATCCTAGAACAAATAATTATGTAAACATGGCATAAACAATTGGATATTAATACCTGACTCGCGATGTTCAAATTCCGTTGCGTCAACTTCCAGTTTTTCGATGATATCCTTAAACCATTCACTTAAGTCGGAACTTATCGTCAATACTTGGTTACGAGTATTAAAAGACTTAACTTCTCCTCGATCCTTCGATTCCAAAATAAAATAACCAAACAGCTCGCAGTTCACCTTAACGCTACCCATGATATCAATTTGCTCACGAACTAATTTTTTTATTACGTCAGCCAACGATTCGACAAATTCCTTCAGATTAATGTATTGTGTATTCGCTGATATTCTGTAGCTCACAATGCGAGATTTGAAGGCTGACGTAATTACTTGAACCCCTTCAGTTGAAAACGCAAGGGAATTATTTTTATGTTTGACACTTCGCAAATGTCCAACATAATCTCGGCTTGAAACGTGCTCCGAACACACATCGCAAAATCTCTGGGTATCGTGTGTAACTTTGAGCTTCTTTGGAGATGGTTCTTGAGCTACGATTTAAACACTTTTTTTTTGCAAGAGTAATAAAAATTCCTTACCTCTACATGACTTTTTGAGATGGCGTCGAAGATTGCTATTAGTAGCGAATGATTTATTACATTTTTCACACATAAACATTTTTGATTCCTATAAAATTGAGTCACAAATGAAATAATTTCGCAACTTTCTCACCTTATAAACGAGCTTGATCTCCTTTTTTAAATAAGCAGTTGGCACACCGGCTTAATGATCCCCCAAAATCTGAACTCTTCAATATTTTTACTGGAAGCTCCTAGATAACAGTAAATGACAAAAAAAAAGTAACTCCACTCAATTACTTACCCTACGGATAACTGTTGGATGTCCGCTAATAACTTTGCCCTCCTTTCAATAAGGTGCTCCACTTGGCAATGGCACCACTGGAGATCGCAAAAATTGTTTTCCCGTTTAATAGATAAAATCTTAAAAAATCGAGAAAGTTGTTTTTCGGCGTCTATAAGTTGACGGTTAAGGCATTCAATGTCACCGAAGATTTCTTCAAGAAGCGAATAATCGAAATCTGGACAAATTAAATCTTTAAAAATATCTTCTATTAACTCGTTTTCTTGCACATCAGCTTCTTTCGCGGGCACGACTACAATGTTCTGCAATATTTTAATACGGGGCGAAGCACTCATGCTTACTGCAGCTGCTCGATATTTTTGCACTATATATGTGTGGGGTTTAAACTAATTGATCAAGGAGCATGATTGAGCATTTCCTCTCTACAAATTATCTACCAATATCTCAAACTATTTGAAGATATCGACTGCCCATTAAAATTTTTTTTCTTGGGATTCGTGCTCCTCCTAACGAATACACCTCTCCAAAAAGGTTTGGATTTCCCCATTCCATCGATATTCGCATATATAAGGTTCCTTGGTATAAATACAACTTCTTCAGTTAAAAAAATTCATAACATTTCGTTAAAAAACATTTAGTTAATATGGAAACTCACGGTAAGTAGAACTTAAATCTTTTAGGCATCACAGTAATTACTTATTTTTTTATCAGAAATCGAAATTTGGGACGTGGTTCCTTTCGAATTATGGATAGACCGGCCCGTAGATACCCCCAAGACGGTCATCGTGAACACTTTTGAAAGAACACCCCTATTTGCGACAACGGTTCCACCCACCGGCCCGCCTATCATAACATCATTTGGGCCGGTCACATTCACCATGCGTGAATCAAATAACACATTGGAATTTTTTTTCATAAACACTTTTAAATAAAAACTTTCCGATTTCTATTACATTTTATTACCTTTGAAAAATAAACCCTTTACCAAGCATTTCGTTTTAGAATAAAAGATAACAAACCTTACATCCATTCAGTAGTCATCTATAAAACGTTAATAACAATTGGTTAAGTATATCGTTTTGTCTTATAACAGGATTTACTTTGTAAAAGATTCACCAAGTTATGGGAAAAAAAAACTCGAAAATTCGAAAACTCTTCGATCTAGGCTTATAATTTTTATTTAGTAAATTTATTCAGTTACGTAAAGTACCTAATAAAGGAAAATAAATGAATCCCATTCAAAAATAGCTAAGTGTGTGTATGGCTGCCAAGCGCCTGCAACCCTTAACGCGAACACGAAACAATGACTAAATACGAGTGAAGTGAATGTTTCTGTCCATTTTTACGTTTTATGAGAAAGCTGTTTCATTCTAATTTAGCTTAGAGACATCCAAAATTCGATTATTATTTTTATAATCAAACTCACACTCAAACGAGATTTATTACAATAATAAATTGTAAATCCATTAACTTTTACGCGTATTTCAAGTCTGTTACTCATACACCGTCCATCATTAAGACGTGTTAAATCATGTGTAATTAAAATATTCGTAGTAATTTAGTGCAGTAATAAATTAGACATCCATTAACTTAATACAGTCGAACTATGACATCAAAATAATCATACGCGATTTATTCCATTAAGATTAAATACACATACGCATTGATTAAAAAATACCTACTTTACTATCTAAATAACCTAAAAAAAAAGTTAAACGGCACTTGATATTTGTATTTTATCTTTACCCATAAGTGTCCACTTAACTAAAATTTTATGATTCCTAAAAATCCGAAACAAATGTATTACGCTATTTCAGACCCTTATTGAACTGTATAAGGAATGAACGACAGTTTTACGATAGTTTTTTTCGCGTTTCGGATTACATTACAATTAATTGTATAAAATTCCCTATAAAATATGTAGACCACTTTTGCTGTGATCGATAGATGAAATGAAATGCTACTTCCACTTAAATACGTATCCGCGAATTTGTATTTATCACAACACCTAATTATGGGTGATTTTGCTTTACGTAAAACGGATTGGCTTGATTACGTTTATTGCTTAATGTGATTCGAAGTTTATAGACCACGATTCATTTTTGCTTATTTATTATATTTAGATCCAGGTTTTTTTCCCTATTAATTATAGGCATCCATTAAGCACTTGTTTACTTTAAATTAAATTATTATCACTTTATAGAGGAAGACATATTTGGGCATGTAATAAATTGTAAATGCATTACGTTTTCCGCGTTATGTTCCATTAATTGGTAACACTTTAATTTTTTTTCCTGTATGTAAAACGCATTAAACTTACTAAACTACATAAATTACCTCACATTCCCTGCGATAATTTAACTACATCAAACCCAAATTATTATAACAGCGCTCGGGCAAACTGTCATTTAATGACAAGCACGGTCTACAGAAAATGTTCCTGGCCAGTTAATACTGAATAGATTTCAAAAAATTAAGGACCAGTTAAACGAATGCACTGTAATTTACTCCGGCGAAATTTTGCTAAATTTTTGTTTAACAGGGTAGCACACTCATGAACGTTGATGTTTTTTCAACTTCATTTTAATACCCGAGCGCTGTTCAGGAAATTGGGTATTTTGAATATACTGAAACACGACTTCTTTGAATCTTCATAATTTATTACACACTTAAATGAGATTACTAAGAATTAAATTTATGAACTTTTCCTTGTTCGAAATACAATTAATTTATGAGATCTTTCAGGCTCTTTGCGTCTTGATAATTAGTTAAGTAAAATGTTTCTTTTTTGCGTTACGAGTTTACGACTAAAGACGAGATCACGGACGGCCTAAATGGACACCCGTAAGTCACAGAGAATCCGTTTACCTAACTAAGCAAACACGGCTCATTTGTGACCCCATCAATTAAGATAAGATCAAGGACGGCTCAAATGAATCCCCGTACGTTAAGGAAGGATCATTTGAGACCCCAATGGGTTGTAACTAGGTCATCCAGGATTCTCTGAGACCCCACTCGCATTTTAAAAGTAGGTCAGAGGATTCATTGAATCCCCATAGGATTCTGATCAGGATCTGCGCATCCCCATCCATATAGAGCCTATATGCGCGGAACCCAAGGTCAAAGAGGATCTGCGCACCCCCATTCTTTCCCCACACGAGTATCTCTTTATACTTCATTTGGTCCGATGAGCTTCGTTACGTTCTTCTAATCGGACTTTTGGAAAATTATTGAAGCTCTATAGCCGATGCGCAATTTCGTTAAATTAAACTCTCAGTTTGCAGTATTAAGTACTGTACTATTTTTGTTTGTTTCCAACGAGGGTATTGATTTATAAATGGTTGACTCGCTTTCGCCAGTAGAAAATTCCTTTTAATTCCCGTATTAAAATACTTAAAGATTTCATGCGCTTACTTACACTATGTGCTGGCATTCTGGGATTAAACCCTGCACAGTCAAGTTGACAAAAAGTATCTGTATTTTGCTATTATTTATTACCTCGTTTTGTGCGCTTTAAGAAGACTTATATAAAGCTTTCTTGTAAGATTTAGTTGCATATACTTAAAGCCGTCGTAAGAGAAAAGCCAATTTACCTTCTTTAACTTGACTCGTACAGATACGAGTACGAGATCCAATCAATAGATAGGTAGACCAGCACATAAATCTCGCGTATATTAGCTTTAAACTGCATCTAAACCATTCCGAAGCAGAAGCCATACGCTAAAATGAGTGGTTTTATAAAATAGGGTTACCTGAACGCTATAATGCCGTCCAGGATCCCCGAAGGATGACGGGAGCATCCTTTTCAACTTATTTTTCTAGTAGCAAGACGATGAAACGGCTAGAGTTCAATTTAATCTGAAGTTCAAACCAATTACGTCATAGTGGCAAAATCCCCTTTATATACGACAAAAGGTTTACGAAATCTGTCAATTTCCGAAGTAGGTCTATACTTCAATGAAATTAATCTTTCAACCGCTGCCGCCGCCGCCTTTAAAACAATTTCGTATGTTTACCGCTAGATGTATTTTATTTTTAAAGTAAATAGTAAACAAAGTAAATATGAAGGATGTTTATACACTGGGAGTTCTATATAAACTTTGAAATTAAAACTTTAAATTAGCTGTCAATTAATTTTAGAATCGCTCGCTCTTTGAAGATGGCAAATTCGGAATTTTATTTAGATTTTAACACATTGGAACGGTAAACAAAAAGGCTATTTCTGGAAATATTCAAAGTCACAAGAAAGCACGACGAATGGCTCAAATAATACATTCAATTGGAGAACTAACGACTATTAGTACCAGAAAAATGAAATTTCAAAGACAAACCTATTAATAAGCGGCATTATTTGGAAATAATCAGTTAGCAAAATCAAAACAATCGACCTAACGATCCCAAAAATACACACTCATTTCTGAAAAAAGGGTGTAAGTAAGGCTATCGAGGGGAATGAAAATGGGAAAAAGACAGATTCCACTAATTTATGTCTCCTCGTTAGGGATCGTGCCAAAAATTGGAAAACGTATGTAGTCTTCTTACTTGCTATCCACGTATCTCGGTTTTGCTTATCCTAGATTCCCAGAATACACACAAGAAAAGCCCGAAAAGGGAGACAAAAACATAGGAAAGTAAATCCACTTTAAGGTCGAAACAATCATTCTGCGAAGAGAGCCAGATATCACCTGCTTCCGTCCCTATCCTTTGAATTCAAATCCTCAAATCCCTTCTTATATTCTGGTTTTTGCTCCTCCTTGTCCCCCTCAACAAGCACATTGTAACGTAAATTTTTAGCCTTCTTCTAGTTTGGTTGGCCTAATACCGTAAATTTCAAAAATATATTTGGAGTATGAGTTATCAAGATAGGTCAGGTCACATTCTTGTTTGATAGGTATCAAAGTAAACGCCAGAACCTGTACTGAATAACTTCGTGTAGGTGGGTTTATACTGAGAATTACTTTAAAAAACGTTTCTAAGGATTAAGAGTACGCCTTACCCATTTAAACAAGTGTATTCGTTAGTCAAGTTGTTGCACTTGAATATCCATTTGTTCTTTGGGATCCATTGAAAATTATTTGAAGAATTTAATCTTGCACTTCGTTAGGTTCAAATATCAATAGTAGTGAGCATGACTTCAGAGCTTTCTGGTTTTTCTACGGGCCTTAATTTAATACCTATATCATTACCAACAAAGTCTCGGAGACCGCCATCTGAGT